CTTAACCTGAGGTACCTCTTTAGCTAATGGGGCCTCCTGCTGCCGCTGGAGCACGATTTCTGTTCTCATCCTGAAGCAAAGTTCTTAACCCGAAGTACTATTTCTGGGTTAGCGGAGTCTGTAACCTGAAGCATATGTAACCTGAAGCGTATGTAACCTGAGGTACCACCGTATATCCCTGAAGGCAGGCTTAGGTTACATAACAACTAGAACTATTCCATAAAGAAGTTAGTCCCAAGTGACTGCGACTAACAAATGGCAACATACAAAATGGAGAAGACACACTGATCAGAACATGGAGGCTGTGCGCTCCTCCATGCTAGTACAACAGACCACACCCTCATCAAGTCCCGTGTAGTGGAAGTCTGTCACAGCTCAGGAGGAAACAAGAAGTCTTCTCCTGAGCGGTACAAACATTCCCTAACATGTCAGCTGCAGGAATGTTGTACTTGACTGCAGTTTTACATCCCATAATGAGAGACAGGGAACTGCAGCTACTCCATGTATCTTTCCGTCTTCCTCATAATGCCCTAGTTTCACACAAGTGCAGCATGGTATCACAATGGTTTGCATTGTCAAGACCAGATCTATCGTCAGTCAGAGTGAGGCACCCACCTCAGGCAGCAAATGCTAAAAGGAGGAGAATGGTGGCAAGGAGTTTTACGAGCAGGTGTGTGTGCCATGCATGGCCTACCCTGCATCCCATAAACTAGCTTGCTGCCCTTCGGTATGGTAGCAGATGCTGTTGTCCTATCACCAGTGTTAAAATAAGATTCAGCCACTGCTCTGGTCAGTTTCTGTACATGGAATGGTGGGACGCCATTTTGTCCTTCGCCTCAGGAAGCGAAATGTCTTGGGCTATCCTTGTGCATTGCATTGCTGCATCGCTGATAATGTACCTGCCCCGATTTTAATGAGGATGTCCCCTGGAGAATCCCTCATTTGCTAGGGATTCGGTTTGAGTCAACCTGAGAAAGGGCATTCTTGATTCAGACACCCCATCTGTGGAACTCCCTCACACTCCAGAGACCATTGGTGCTTATAAGCTTTTGGCACCAAATGAAGACCTACCCAGGCTTTTGGCTGAATCTGTGTCACAGGACTTGGTAAAAATGGCTATTTACCTGTGTATGTGCTTTTGCCTGACCTCCAACTTTTCAATGATGAAAATAGGGACATATTTTATTGGCTGACTGGTTTTATTGTGTTCTTTTGGCAATTCACTCTGCTCTGACGTTATCTTGTAATAAAAAGAGGCTAACAAAATTTACAAATAAATAAAATAGAAAACAAATTATATGAAGGGGCATTAGATCATGCATTGTGCTAAATTAGTGGTTTTTGAAGGCAGAAAAGAAACAGAGAATAAGGTTAGCCCTCTTACATTTAACACGCATGGCTTCCTCCAAAGAATCCTGGGGTGTTTAGTTTGTTAAGGGTGTTGGGAACTGTAGTTCTGTGACTGGTAAACTACTGTTCCCAGTAGGTTGGGGGGATGGGGGTGGGGGAGAAGCCATGTGCTTTAAATGCATGTCGTGGATGTGACCATAAAATCTAGCACCAGCCTTCCTCACAACCATAAGATGACTTATCACAGACACAATTAGGGGACAGTCCAAGTTAAAATCCCCAAAAGAGTGAGGAATGTATAAAGAGTATCTTAAAAAAACAGTGTCCTCAGATAAAAAACTGGACTTGTTTTGAGTAATTTTTTGCAAAACAAAATAAGGGTTGCAATTATATCATATGGAGAAAGATAGTAACGATGAAAAGAGAAAGAAGCAGTTTATCAAGAAAGGAAAAGTAGAACCGCATAGAGGAGGAAGGAAGTCTATAAGAACAAAATAAGAATCAGGAATAGAAAAGAAGAAGTGAGTCTGTTTGTAAGATTTTTCAGATTTACTGTACGGTTATGTGTTTGCAGTTTCTTTTTGTGTGTGTTTTCAGTTTAGTTTGTTTTTCTTTACGTTTTGAGTGTTTATGTGTTGTCACAAAAATTCAATAAAAAGCACTTTAAAAAGCAAGCAAACAAACCATAAGATGACTTATGATTGTGCTTTCCCTCCGACTCTTTCTATACTACATACAGTTCTATACTGCTACAGTTCTACATTTGCTTTCAGGGTGCCTTAAATCATGTATGGTGTGTATACAGCCAAAGAGAATTTGGAAGCTAAATGGTATGCAAGAGAAATCCCTCCCACATAACGACAGCGTGAGTTTCTGCCCTTGTTTTTTAGCTCTCCACTTATTCTTCTCTGAGTAGTATTGATCGCCTTGGCATAAGCTTGCAAACTGCCTCCATCTTTCTTACTAGCGCCACCTGCCCTGCTTCAGGCCTGCAGGAGTCTCCTCTTCCCACATCACAGTTCAAGGTTCTCCCTGTGGTTATTGCAGCTCTATCTTTCAAGGATCCTCCTTCTACTCTGCAAAAACGCACACAGAGACTCCTGAGGCCTTCCAGTTCTTTGTAGCTCTCAAAATAGCAACAACAGAGCAGCGATAAACTAGCTGGCCCAGTTTGTATCAGGAGTGCATTGCTACTTCTTGGGTGGTATCCCTGCCATGTGCTGTGGAGGAAAATAAAATATTCCTCTCCTTAGGGCCTCTAATTATTTAACTTTGGCTTGGAAGTGTGGGCCAATTCCTGGCTTGTTGGCACAGGCAACTTCCTCCGAAATCTATCCTATAACCGTAGTTTGACTTTCATGTCTGCATGCTGCTGTCAGGTGATCTTTGATAAAATATAATGAAGGAGAGATCTGACGAAAGATTGGGACATACCTTTGTTTGGTGTTGCTGAAGCTCTGGAGTTGAATGCCTCTGGGCTGAACAAGGCACTTAAAGAAGTGCCAGAACCTCAAAGGTTTGTTTTCTTTACCTTCCTATTGTTGTAAGACGAACTGCTCTTTTAAGATTAGCACGTTGAGCCAACATTTTATGTCTAAAATGAGTGAGGTGTGCTTTGTAAAATAAAGGATGGCTTCAATAATGGTGGTGTTTTTAAAAGTTAATTTTAAAAAGATTTATTCTGCAATTTTTAAACATAGTTTGGGGGCTAACGTGAGTGTAATTTTGATACTATCAGAGTGTGCAGCCCCTGCCTTTGTGCTGGAGGGAAAGGGTGAGTCTCCCCTGCTATTCCAGGAAACCTTGGTCCCAATGCCTGGAGTCACACCACTGATCTTGCCCTCTGCCGGCTCTCCAGCCCAGTCAATTCTTTATTAACAAGCGGTAAAAATGCCTAGCGTGCAGGCAGGTGGGGAGAGAAGGGGGGCCATATATTACTTCTTAATTGTTTTTTTCCATGTTGTTGTTGTTTAGTTGTTTGGTCGTGTCCAACTCTTCGTGACCCCATGGACCAGAGTACGCCAGGCACTCCCGTCTTCCACTGCCTCCCGCAATTTGGTCAAACTCATGTTCGTAGCTTCGCGAACACTGTCCAACCATCTCGTCCTCTGTCGTCCCCTTCTCCTTGTGCCCTCCATCTTTCCCAACATCAGGGTCTTTCCCAGGGAGTCTTCTCTTCTCATGAGATGGCCAAAGTACTGGAGCCTCAGCTTCACAATCTGTCCTTCCAGTGAGCACTCAGGGCTGATTTCCTTAAGAATGGATAGGTTTGATCTTCTTGCAGTCCATGGGACTCACAAGAGTCTCCTCCAGCACCATAATTTTCATGTTGATCAGTAACATCAAAGAGCAGTAAGACAAGCAAAACTTCCCGCTCCACTCCCCAAAAGGTGAGATTGAGGCTAGCACCCCTTAGATCAACACAAATTCCAGTCACTTACGCAAACAAATAAATTATAGTTTAAAACTACATTAGTTGGAAATTTTGTGGTTCTGCTGCATCCTTTGTAGCTTTCTTCATAAATAAAGGCACAACCAATCCATTGTAAATGTGTCCTTTCGTTCCCAACCCTTCGCAAGCATTAATTTGTTAGATTTGTGTTATCTGTCAGGAAATGGTTGAGCAAAGCCAGCTGAGGGGATTTAACAAAGTTTGGGGGCATATAAATAAAACAATGTATGTATATAATCCTCTTTTAAAGTCATCCAAGTTGGTGGCCATTACGGCCTCCTGTGGAAGCTTATTTATGCACTGTGTGCATAAGAAGTTCTTTCTTTTGCCTTTCCTGAATCTTCCAAAATTCAACTTTCTTGGTTGAAAGAAAGTACCCAAGTTCTAGTGTTATGACGGAGTGAGGAAAGCATTGCTCTAGCTACTATTTCCACATCATTCTTAAGTTTATATACCTCTTTCATTGTATATCCTCTAACCTGCATTTTCTAAAGCACCTCAGATATTCCAGCCTTTCTTCACAGGGGAGTTGCTCAATCCCCTTTATCATTCTGGTTGCCATAATAATAATAATAATAATAATAATAATAATAATAATAATTTTATACCCTGCCCATCTGGCTGGGTTTCCCCAGCCACTCAGGGCGGCTCCTAACAGAATATTAAAAACACAATAGAACATCAAACATTAAAAACTTCCCTAAACAGAGCTGCCTTCAGATGTCTTCTAAAAGTCAGATAGTTGTTTATTTCCTTGACATCTGACGGGAGGGCTTTCCACAGGGCAGGCACCACTACCAAGAAGGCCCTCTGCCTGGCTTCCTGTAACTTCACTTCTCACAGTGAGGGAACCATCAGAAGGCCCTTGGAGCTGGATCTCAGTGTCCGGGCAGAACAATGGGGGTGGAGAGGCTTCTTCACGTTCTCTACAATATCCATTCGAAGGTGAGGCAACCAGAACTGTACTTCCAAATGTGGTCGCACCACAGATATAATGGCATTATGATATTGGCAGTTTAATGTTGTTCTTTTATGTTTTATATGCATTGTGGGAATTACACTAGTGTGTTGGTGTTTTTGTTTTTTTAACAAGGTAGTGGCTCACAAACATCATCAAATAAATCAAATAAAAATAAAGATCATTCAAAGATCATTGTGAACGGAAAGGTAAGCCTGTGTGGATGAGTGGTCCTCCAGTATGCTGCTACGACGACTGACGTCTCAGATAGCGAGGGCCTCTTGGTTTGCAGAACGCTTTCTTTTGAGATCGACCATCTTGCTTCCAGTTCCTAGACTTGCTGCTTCCACAAATTACAGCATACTTCCCTCAAACAGAAAACGAGCCCAACCTCAGCAGTGGTACGCGTTGGACCCTGAGCTGGAAGAAATCCTGGTGCCAAGGAAGATGTCGATCTCCACCCTTGAAAGCTGGCTGACGGTCCAGTATGTCCTCCCTAAAGGTGGAGGTGCTGTCAATGTTTGTGAGAAGCTAGGCTATGAACCCAACCATCAGTATGACCTCCCCACATCTTCCTGGGATGCAGAGGCTGAGGATGACAGTGAGGAGGGAGGAGGCGAGCTGAACCGGGGCAAAATGGAATGCAAGAACATTCTGAAGATCCAGAGAAGGAAGATGAACAGACACAAGTACAGGAAGCTGATGAAGCGGACAAAGTTTTTGCGGAAGAAGGTCATGGAAGGTCAGCGCCGGAGGAAACAAAAAAGGTTTGAATGATATCTGGAACGCGTCTGGAGGAGAGCTGGACTGAGGAAGGCTCCTGAGGGATGGACAACACCCAAGATATATCTCAAGAAGTCCGATTGATGTCTCCATGAGGTTTTTTTTAAAATTAAGCAATATTTAAAGGGGGGGGAATAAAAATAAAATAATTAATAATAATAATAAAGATACACACCCAACAAACAAATGGAAATCTATACATGCTTAGCCAACATAGCCATCTCTGGTGATGTGTGCATTTCTTTAATATGCAAAGTTTAATAATTAGGTGGTTGAATAGCTGAATGATGGTCACAGTGTGCAGAAAATCAAATGGAAAGCTAATGATCCTTGTGGGCATTAAGCTCTGCACCAAATAATAGTAATTGAATTATTTCTTGCATGGTGGGAAGCCTGAGACTTTCCTTCAGTCCCTGAAGGCTTTGCAGGGAAAAGGCAGACACAGAGCTCTGCATGGCCCCTTTATTCCCTTCCCTGGAACTGATTGGCAAAAGATAAGTATGGAATGAAAGTTACCCAACAGCAGCTGTGGTAGAAAATCAATGTGTGGACATTTGGAATCACCAACAAAAAAGGTGCATTTCCTGTCCTCTCTGTCGTTCTGATTTTTACAGTGTTCTCAGAGAGCCAGTGTGGTGTAGTGGTTTAAGCGGTAGACTCGTAATCTGGGGAACCAGGTTCGTGTTTCCGCTCCTCCACATGCAGCTGCTGGGTGACCTTGGGCCAGTCACACTTCTCTGAAGTCTCTCAGCCCCACTCACCTCACAGAGTGTTTGTTGTGGGGGAGGAAGGGAAAGGAGAATGTTAGCCGCTTTGAGACTCCTTAGGGTAGTGATAAAGCGGGATATCAAATGCAAACTCTTCTTCTTCTTCTTCTCCTTCTCCTCATAATGCATACACTTAAGCATATGGTATAGGATAGATGCATCTGCCAATTTTGGCATCTCATTTTTTCCAGTGTTCACTTCTCCACATTTCTTCATCAGTTTGTGGATTTTTTCGAATCTTTGCAAAAATTTGCCAACATTTTAATGCACATTTCTCCAAATATGTATATTTTGGCACACAGCTTTCCCTAACATAATTTTTTTGTGTATATTATTTTCACTACTGTGTGCATCTTAGGTACACGTCCCCCTGAAGGACACATTTATGTACACATTATTTGGTTGAAGAACCACATGACAAAATTCAGAGAAGTGCGACTTTCAAAGGGTAGCTGTGTTTTGCTTCACTTCTTGTTTCGTAAAGTTCGAATTAGGGATAATCTCGTTGAAATCTAAGCTGAACCATATTTCTCCTCCATTCTTAGTGTAGAGAGAGATTTCTTACATCACATCCCAGAGGAGACAGATGATCATCCCTTCTCCCACTTTGGGTGTTGGCAAAATACCCTACCTTTCTACAAACAAAACAAAATGCAACCTAAAAATAGATAAATGAGCAAAGCCTAAATTACATTCAGTGGAATTTATTTATGAGTATACATCTATAGGACTGCACAGTGAGTGAGTTTAGGGAAGAGTTGTTTGTTTGGGGGAAATATTATGACCTAATAATATGAACTAATTTGTTATATGATTGCCTTTTTCATTTTTGCTTAATTTATATTTTGGACAAGGGTTTAATGGAGTGTTGTTGTTTAATATCCTGGTGTTTACATATGACTATGAATTGCCTCTTGTGTTGTTCTATACATTGTGGAGCGACTGGTTTTGTTGCTTTTATATTATTGTTAATTTCTTGGCAGTTTAATGTAAACTGCCTTGAGCACACTGGCAATATTATGTATAAATATAATTCACTTTGACCTTGATTAATTGAAACCAAGAGCATATTTCACTAACTGCTTAGGACGAAGAGCTATTTATTCTCCGATACTATACAGAATCTCCAGCAAGACAGAATGAATGCTGCAAGCAACCAGGAAGGAAAATCCAAGCGACTTATCCTGTGATTAAGAAATAAGGCATCTCATTGATCTTGTTCTTGCTTTCATGCCTTCCTAGCTCCTGGAAGCCACGATTGTACGGAGTTGCGTTAACTGAATGAATGTCAGTTGTTGGGTCCCTAAAGCCATTACGTCATGTAATAGAACCTTCAGGAATACATCCAGTCGGAAGACATGTGCAATATGCTCTGAATCAACATCTTTCCTTTGGAATTTTCAGTGAACATAGCGACACCAAATATGTCAAGCTGACAGCCCCGGGGATTGAATTCTTTAAGAGAGAAGCAGAGCAGGAAACAGCGGTAGCAGGTGTTGGCATAATAATTAGACCCATGCGCTAATGGATGGGGGAAAGATGAAAACAGAGCGACATCTAGTGTTCAGTGAGGACAAAAGCAAAACTAATTTGATTATCCAGTTGCCAGGTTGCCAACACAGAATTTTTCAAAAGAGGTCTAAAAGCCACTTCCCCCCACAAAAAAACCCCTGTTATTTTATGTATGTACTTATTAAAATAATATCCTTCCTTCCTGTCAAAGTAGCCTAGGGCAGCAAAAGCAAAAGTTCTAAAACAATAGAATTAAAAGATAATAATATTCAGAACATTTAAAAACACGCAAAACGTCACATACTCCCATAGTTAACAACTTTAAGGTTGTCAGTGTATAATTCAGCCATCAAATGCCTTGGTGAACAGGAATGTTTTAAAATTCACCCTGAATGTTAATATGTAGGGAAAGAGATGTACTTCGCTTGGGAGGGAATTCTACAAAAAAAGGGAACTACCACCCAGAAGCTTTATATCATGGTTTGCTTTATTTCGGAATGAGTCCAAAATAGGAATAATGAGAAAAATGCTCTGCTAGAGATGAATTTGTGGAGAACAGGATGGTTTGACATGATGGACGCAATCCATCACTGAGTTAAGCATTTTCCAGAGGGGTAAGGTAAAGGGACCCCTGACCGTTAGGTCCAGTCGTGGACAACTCTGGGGTTGCGGCGCTCATCTCACTTTATTGGCCAAGGGAGCCGGCGTACAGCTTCCAGGTCATGTGGCCAGCATGACTAAGCCGCTTCTAGCGAACCAGAGCAGCGCACGGAAACGCCGTTTACCTTTCTGCCGGAGTGGTACCTATTTATCTACTTGCGCTGTGTGCTTTCGAACTGCTAGGTTGGCAGGGGCAGGGACGGAGCAACGGGAGCTCACCCCGTCGTGGGGATTCGAACCACCGACCTTCTGATTGGCAAGTCCTAGGCTCTGTGGTTTAACCCAGTAGATCTCTGTTAGTCCATTGTGATAAGACTGCTTCAGAAACAACCCTATGTGGTAGGGAGAACCGTACATCGGTTCTGAGCATGCTCAGAGCTGTTTTCCTGAAGGCCAGAAAAGCAACATTTCCTACTTTGAGGAATCATAGAATTATAGAGTTGGAAGGGACATTGAGGGTCATCTGGTCCAATGCCCTGCAATGCAGGAATATGCAGCTGTCCCATATGGGGATTTAACCTGCAACCTTGGTGTTAGATCACCATGCTCTAACCAGCTGAGCTAGCCAGGTTCATTGAGCACTTTTCTTGTTTACTTTAGTATTTGTTTTGTGACCTTGCTAGACAAAGAGAGAGAGAGAGATCAAGCAAGCAAACGATGAGTATCTATCTATAATAAACATCTATTTTTACTCAATCATTTTGCATTTATTTTTTAGAACTGTAGAATTGGGAGAAGAAATAGTGAATGTCTTCTGTATGTGTCGCAACAAATTCTGTATTAACCGTCGCCCAATGTCATGTCCATACCCCCCCCCCCCCATGAGAGTAGGGACTGCACACTGGATTCAGGTGGCAAATTTCCAAATGACACGTTTTCCAGTTGATGGTTAATCTATAAACTATGGTGCTGCGTTATGCAGAGTAGACCTATCCGAGTCATGTTAAAGAATTTCTTGTTGCTCACAGAAAAGCTGGTTTTCGGCTGGCATAAGAAATCTGGATCCACACCAGTGTTAAAGGACACCGTATAAAATCAAAGTAGTACATAACCAAAGCGGAGGGGACGTGTCCCATGTGTGAAAAGTAGGCGCCTTTCTGAGCTGTGCAGCAAATGGAGGGTGGAAAACTGCAATGTGTAGTTTTACCTTTCATTGCAGCCCTGTGATGAAATATTAAAAACCAGCGAAAGTGTTCAAAATAAAGTAGAAGGTTGGCTTGGCTGACGGCATGACAGGCAGTTTTAACGCAGGGAGTCTAAGGAGACATAGGGCCTGAGCAAAGCAGTTGTAGCTCAGTTGTGGAGAGCATATTTTAAACAGAGATGCTGCCTTGCACTCCTTGCTTCCGAGGAAGCTGGCTTTCCCTCCACCACTGGCCAGCAGAGTGAAAAGCCTGCCTTGCCCCTATCGATTGATTGATTGATTGATTGATTGATTGATTGACAGCCTAACTGGACGACTTCTGGGGAACATCTTTTCCTGGGCCAATAGCAGCTAGTTATTGTGGTTGCAGCCTTGAAGCATCTAATGGCCAAGGCATTGTGTAGGCTTAGTCCTGATGTGAGGCAGGTAGGCTTCCTTCCCAAATAGCGGCTGTTTGATTTGATCTGGGGCTCTCTTGTTTTCTCCTTGTTTTGTTTTGTTTTGCCATGTGCCTGAGTCAGGATCAACTGGGGAGAGCTTGAGGCTCCCCAGGTGTAGGGGTCAGAGTAGACGAACTTTGAGGTTCGTTCCTACTATGCGAGTCTACATTTAATGACTACGTCACAGTTCTTAGATATTCAACCTCTGGTTCCCCAGGCGTTGCTGGGTTGCAATTTCCACCAGCCCCCACCAGCATGGCCAATGATCAAGAATGATGGGCATTGGAATCAGCATTCAGAAGGCCACAACTTTCCTCTAGTGACCTAAATATCCGTGTTACAAATAATATTTTATGTGAAAATATGTTTATTCAGTGCAACATAAAATAATGCAAATTAGAGACATCCTCTGGTTCATGTAGGCTCCAATAACTCAGTATATGCTATAGCATATATGTTAGCAGCCCGGTA